GGCGTCCGAGTTTGTGTGTGTGGGTACTTTTCCGGGTATGGATCTTGGAGATACGGGTGTGCTCACCGACGAGCAGCTCATGGATGCCTATGATGACACCCCGAATCAAGATTTTTTCCCCGTGTTTATCCCAGAGAGTGACACTGCGAATGTGGCTGGTGTTTTGGATAGCATTGATGGGGGTGCTGATTTTGACTTGGGTGCGGCCGCGCTTGGCCCTGGTGCGTCCCGGTTTGCTCTTGGTTCGACTGAAAAGTCCGTTGACATCAACCGCTTCCACCGCTCCTTTGCCCACGCTTGCGAGCCTCTTTTGAGAGAAACTGCCCAGCAGAGAGGCATCGTGCTCACCGGCAAGCTGGAACCGTGCACGGACTGCATGAAGGCGAAGGGCAGGCGAGGGTCGGTGCCGCGGGGGCCGGGAGCGAGGGCGTCCAAGCCTCTCGGGCGTGTTCACCTGGACCTGTGTGGACCGCTGGTGCCTTCCCTGGGCGGCAACCTCTACCTGTTCGTCGCCGTGGACAGCGCCTCGCGGTGGAACAAGGTCTACGGTCTCCGGCGGAAGTCCGACGCGCTGGCGGCAACGAAAAGGCTGCTGGCGGACGTGGGGCGGTACGACCTCGGACGCATCGAGTGTTTCCGCGTCGACAACGGCACCGAGTGGACCCGCGGCGATTTCCGGCGCTTCTGCGACGACAACGGCATCGGCGTCGAGTTCACCCCGCCTGGCGTCCCGCAGTACAACGGCGTCGTCGAGAGCGCCATCTGGCGGATCATGAAGGCCGGCATGGCCGCCCGCCGCAGCGCTGGCCGTGTGTTCCACGTCGACTTCGCCTCCATCCCCGGCCTCGACGAGCGTGGTGACCGTCTTTGGATGGAATCGGCGAAGTGGGCCGCCGACGCTCTCAACCAGTCGGCGACCAAGGCCAACCCCGGGCGGCGCTCGCCACACGAGGTGTTCACCGGCGAGCAGGGGCCATTCCGCGTGCTGCCGTTCTTCCAGCCCGGCTTCATGCGTGAGGATCGCCGCACCAAGCTCGACGACCAGGCCACCCTCTGCTACTACCTACGCCGCCGCCCGCTCCCACGCCTTCACAACCGCCCTCTGCCACTTCGCCTTCACCGTCGGCGACCCCCGCTCCTTGCCAGCCGTCCTCTGCCCCTTCGCTGTCACCGTCGGCGACCCCAGATCTAGACCAACCGCCGCCGCCGCCGAACCCCGTGATGCTCCCGCTTGGCTTACGCCATGCGGCAGCTTCGCCCGGGTACGAAGGCCGAGGGTATGACAGACCCGCGGCTGCCAAGCCGTACGAGATCGGGCACAAGGCACAGCACAGGACTCATCTCGATGCTTGACAAGAATACTCTGGTGTCGATGCTGGAGGCTCGGGGCGCGGTGGACGAGGAGCGCAGGGAGCTGGGGGGGGCGAAGGCCGAGAGCCGGGGGGAGCGAGGACCGGAGGGCAGGCGGGAGCACTCGCAGCTGTGGACCCGGGGGCCGGAGGAGCGGGCTTTCTACTCGCATTTGCCACGCTCCTCGCCAACCGGGAAGACATCGACGCCACGCTGCGAGACCAGCGCCCGCCGGAGCAATGCCTTCACCTTCCTGATTGCCAGGTCAGCGACCTTCGTGTCCCCAAGAGCTACAAAGAGGCCATGGCGTCGGAGCACCGGCACCTTTGGAGCGACTCTATGCAAAGGGAGTTTCATGGCTTGTTGGAAGCGGGAACTTTCACTCCGGCGAAGTAGCAATTAGTGGAGAACGCAATTAACGCTAAGTGGATATTCGATTGGAAGGCAGATGAGTTTGGATGTCCCACTCAGGTTAAGTCGAGACTTGTAGCGAGAGGTGATATGCAGAGAGAGTCCATTGACTTTGGAGAGTTGTACGCTCCTACCGTTTCTGTTTCATGTGTTAGGATTTTGGCTGCTTTGGCGTGCGAGTTGAACCCCGACTTGTGTCATTTCGATATTGAGCAAGCTTTGTGCATTCGGAGTTGGAGGAAGACGTGTACATGCGTTTGCCGCAGGGATGTGGAGCTCTATCTGGAATGATTGTAAAACTAGGCAAGAGTCTGTATTGCTTGAGACAGGCATCTAGGCAGTGGCATGCAATGCTGAAGAGGTGTTTGGTAGAGTTAGGTTTTGAGCAGTTCATGGCCGATGCTTGTGTGTTTCGTTTGATTGAGGATGGATGTGTTGTTTTGATTTTGGTAGTACATGTAGATGACATTTTTGCTGTTGGAGAGAGGGAGAGATGTGATAAGTTTGGCGCCGACCTTAACAAGTCCGTGCCAGTGAAGAACCTGGGAGAGTTGAGATAGCATTCTGGGTGCTTTTACGAGAGGAACAAGGAGACCGGTAGGTGGACGATTTCTCAGCAGACTTTCACGGATGAGCTAGCACCAGAATATGGAGTAGTGGGACGTAAGAGCGTTCCGATGTCTTCGGGTGTGAAGCTTTCTGATTTTGATGCGGATGAGGTAGCGACAGACTTTCCGTTTCGTGAGCTGGTAGGATCGTTGATGTGGCTGGCGACTTAGACTAGGCCAGACATTGCGAATGCAGTAAGGGCAGTAGCTAGGTATTGCGCATCTCCGAAGCTGGTACACTGGAATGCAGCGATGGAGATTTTAAGCTATGCGAGGAGGACGAGTCACTTTGGTATTTCGTTTCAGAGAGGTACGGTAGAGGGATTCAGCTTGCAGGGATACGCTGATGCGGACTTTGCAAGCAAGGCAGCAGACCGTAGGTCGGTATCAGGGGGGATCGTGACGTGTGGAGGAGGNGATTAAGCTTGCAGGGGTACGCTGATGCGGACTTTGCAAGCAAGGCAGCCGACCGTAGGTATGTATCAGAGGGGATCGTGACGTGTGGAGGAGGCGCTATGTCTTGGTTTTCCAGAACGCAGAAGTGTGTCACGCTTTCGACCACCGAAGCAGAGTACGTCGCGCTAGGTGACGTAGTGAAGGAGATTTTGTTTTTGAGGCAGATTTGGCGTTTCATGTTGCCGCAGGTCGGCATGCCGTGCATCCCCATCTTCGAGGACAACCAGGGGGCCATTCAACTAGCGCAGAACCCCATCTGAAACTCGAACTCGAAGCACATAGATGTAAGGCATCGTTTTCTCAGGAAACTGGTAGAGAGGAAGGAAATTTCGGTCATCCACGTGCCGTCGCCGTACCAGCGTGCAGACTTTCTTACGAAGAGTTTGTCGAAGGATGCTTTCGAGTCTCACCGTGATTTTGTGATGAATTTGGCATGAACATTGTATTATTTTTCTGATGGGTTGTGTTTTGATCTTGTTTTGTTCCCGTTTTGTTTCATTTCCCCCGCCAAGTATTTGTTAAGCGCGATGCAGCATTCATATTTCTTTGAATTGTTTTTCTCTCTTATATTTTTCTGGTCAAGTCTTCATGGTATATATTATGGGAAAGACGTCTTTTGGTTGAGATATCGGGTGTTAGCGAAGGTTTCAGTGGGAAACTATTGCGAGCAGGGGGGATGNCTCACCGTGATTTTGTGATGAATTTGGCATGAACATTGTATTATTTTTCTGATGGGTTGTGTTTTGATCTTGTTTTGTTCCCGTTTTGTTTCATTTCCCCCGCCAAGTATTTGTTAAGCGCGATGCAGCATTCATATTTCTTTGAATTGTTTTTCTCTCTTGTATTATTCTGGTCAAGTCTTCATGGTATATATTCTGGGAAAGACGTCTTTTGGTTGAGATATCGGGTGTTAGCGAAGGTTTCAGTGGGAAACTGTTGCGAGCAGGGGGGATGTTAGATATACTCGCAGCAGTATCTGGTCGTGAGGATCCCAGGGGGATACGTGTTGGGAATTTCGTGTGTTGAAGGGTACCATCGGCGCAGTCACGAGGACCCTTTTGGCGTGGTCGGTGCGATGATGAGGCTTGCGTGCGTGCTGCGCACTTCTTCTTCTTCCCTCTCTCTCCACCACCACCACCGTCTCTCTCCAATCAAGTTTCCTTCTCCCACTCTCTCTCCAACTCTCTCTCAACCTCTCTCTCTCGGCCTAACGCGGCCGACTACCCAGTGCCTCAAAGTAACGTCCAGAACGTGCTTGCTGCACCCCGCGTAGTTTACCTTTCAGTACTCTGGAGAGGAGAGAGGTACGCCCAGCGAGGCACGCGAACATTAAAGATATACTAGCTGTCGCCACAACGAGCGACAGCTGATAGATGTAACTGTCGTCAGACGTGTGTGTGCGTCCACGGGAGGAAACAGAGTTCAAACACCACACACTTGATACTACACCTACCTGCTGTGCGCTGGTGTGAGAGCTGTGGTAACGTTACTTTTCACCTACCCCCCCCGCCGTCCACATGCCGCATTTGTGGTCATGATTGTTAGTAAACCATAATCGACTTCGTAAGTCGCGAGGGAAGGGATTGCTGTACCCTTCTCGCGATAAAAATACCTCAGGCATGAACCGCAGGAGGGGGTCCAGCCCCCCCCTCCTATGTGACCCCGGTTGGGTCGTCTGGCTAGTAGAGGTGGAGGATAGGGGCCAGAGGGGCAGACGACAGAGTCCAATGATGGGAGAAAAAAATTATATATTCATATACCAGCGGTATAGAGAATACTAATATTACCTAATCAGGATCTTTAAGTTTCAAGGAGATCAGTCTGCATTTCGGCGCCCGGACACCTTTCGGTGCGAATCGAAGCCCGTGAGCGTTCTGCTGTGTTCAGCGGTAACAGCGCGCCTGCTCCGGCCCCGGGACTCGCCCTACACGCCGAGCTACGGCCGCTGAAAGCCGGAAGCGGGCGCAGCCCGTGACGTCATCCCATTCATTTAGCAAGACAGGCGTCTGCGACAGATTGTGGATCTTTGAGAAAAACAGGAATCAGCGATAGCTCGGCGCACACACGCGCTCAGAACGTCCCCGAAGCGTCCATGTGTTCCGTTGAGTCTGGCCGTCATGACGCGCCGCCTCCCGTCTCGAGACTCCCCCTGCTCGCTGAGATGTGGCGGCAAAGAGGTGGGTTGCGGGGAGCCTCCCGTTCATTTTGCAAGACAGGCGATTCCGCCTCTTTCGGGGGGCAGCTGGAAACTCACACATCTGCTGGCGCTCAGCGACGACAAGATATGCGCAGCTCTCCTTTGGGATGTCTCATCTTCGGGGGATTTGGGGTTCGGCGCGCCACTTCCCGCGTCGATCTTCGACGTCGTGGCGGAGCCGCGTCTGTTTGAAGCCGTCAGCTCGAGTTTTTGGTGACGTCACCTATAGTAATTCTACATTGTTGGTTTTGGCTCTTCCGCGGAGACGCTGTTTTTCGTGAACTCGCGATTTTATCGTCCGTACGCACGCTTTTCCCGAAAAAAACGCGCGTGGCGTGCTGCCCACAGTCTCGCGGTGTCGTGGCACCCGTTTTATAGCGTCGGCGTCGATCTACACGTGCAGTTTGTTGGGGATGAAGTTCGTGTGTGTCAGTGGATCTTCAGACACGTGTCGACGGAGCGACTTTACAAATTTTTGGTTCTGTGCAATATGTTAAACGGGACGTAGGGAAGGAGCTGTAGGGAAGTCTCTTCGGGCTATTGTCTGATTCGTGAAAAAATCATGGCTGTCATTTGCGCCAAAAACAGCGGCCAACTTAGACACTGCTGTAAAGATACTTATGTAGCTCCCCAAGGCTCCCGGTCACGAGTGTGAGACAAACGTCTCTCTCAGTGGTCTGTCATCGTGTCTCTGTGTGTAATACATGCTGTGTCTGGGGGTTTTGTGCTTTGTGCGTCTGACGGAAGATGGATCGAGTACACCCGGCTGGCTGCTCCAAAAATGGTTCTGCTGTGTTGTATGGTGTCGGTTCGGGTGTAATCTGTGACGTAAATCAGTGACGCGCCGCCATGTTGGGTGGAGTTTGTCGGATCAGCATTCTCGCTGCTGCCCCCCGATCCTCACATTTCATCAGCTCCCCCACTGCCAACATCAAAGATCGAGCTTCGAACACCATGTTCAGAGGATCCCCCTTGAAGAAGATCAGGACTGAAGAACCATCTTCCTCAAAGCGGAAGTTCCTCGCCGGGAATCCACTCTGGCCGTGCCCCAGCAACTACTGCGACGGCCTTTTGAAGAAGATCCCCAAGACCAAGGGTGGATTTTTCACGCCTTGCGACCAGAAGCAGTCCAACGATCCGAACACCTGTCAGGTCTCGTGCTCTTTTTTGAGCGAGCGAGGACCAAACCCCGTCAAGTGCGAACTGTGCTTGACGCCTGTAGGAGGGACACCTTCTCTCGGTGTTCTGTCCGGAGAGAAGACCGATCAAGGCCGAGGCGGTGAGCCACGCACATAAAGATAAGCCTAAAGATATCCTAAGATGCTCAGCCCTTTTGCTGTATCTTTGCTCGGTTGCTCTATCTTAAGATGCACGGCCCTTTTGCTGTATCTTTGCTGGGAGCAACCGATTGTATACGACATAAACGACACTCCATTTCACAGCCCCGCGGAAACTAACCGTTGCGAGGATCGCAAACAATACAGAGTGGCTGAATATACACGCGGTGTGGAAGTTGTGCGCCGGGGCGACGACATCTGACGGTGGAAAGTACAAGAACGCCACCCTCGCCACCGGGGAAATCGTTGGGGTAAGTTATCCAGTCTGCGTTCTACCTGATGAAATTTGTGCATAAGTTGTACTGTGTGTGATCGTACTATCCGGTGCCTTTTTTTTCTTCCCGCATCTGCCGGATTTCCTCGCATTTTCGTGGACGTCTATACTGCTGTATCAATCATCCTTTTTTTTCCCCCGTATTTTGTTTGTCCGGGTTTTCAGCGCCCGTGTAGCTGCTTCGACCCGGAGAAGAACGTCGACGACATCAAAGAGGGGTGCACGGGAGACATCCAAGAGGGCGAGTACGTCGTCAAGGATTGGACCGACCCTCCCCTCCACCTCCACTGTGCGAAGCGCCTCTGGCGGGCGAAGGTCGACGAGATCCTCAGGGAGAAGAAGATCCTGAAGGACATCGGTACTACCGCGGAGAAGGAGAGCTCCCAGCCTTCGGCGCCAGCCATCGACGTTTAAAGTGAGATCTTTCCCTGTATTTCGCAATCTCTCAAGTGATATCATTTCAAGTCAACACTGTCAAGTCATAAATCATAAGTCATAAGTCAATGCGTCCAACGCAAGTGTCAATGCGTCCAACGCAAGTGCCGAGCTCTCGTGTTACACGATCGACGTCTCGACAGCACTCGGAACCACCATGTTCAAACCCTCACAATACACGCGCAGCTTCCAACCGTCAACAATCGACTCAGCGTCCTGTTTCTCGCCAACATTCACCGCCTGTATCGAGTTCTCGTGTTACGCGATCGGCATCTCGGGTTAGGTCTCCGTGTGTACAATCTAATATCTCTTCCAGGCGAGCTTCAGTTAGACAATCTGCACGAAGACAACAAATTCTGCAACACAACAGATTACGAAACACCCAACATACAAATGACGTTGCGGGTTCCGATTCTAGGCGAACCTCTGCAAGAATAGCTGAGAGAAGAGCACAAAATACCCGGCGACCCCTTCGGGATGAACCGACTGATTCTGATGACGACAGTGATACATCCCGCGAATGTAGTGTACACGACGAAAACGACAATGCTCTTAGAACGATCCGAGAACACTTCAACAACATGCGCGGACGTCAACCTAGACTGCCAGAAAGAGGCGTGGATGGTGAATCTCGTGACGACGACGACAATTTGTCTTATGGGGTGCAGCCTTTCAACTGCCTTCACCCCAACACTCCATTGTCTTCGCACCAACTCAAATATCCTTCCCTCGAACACGAAATGAATCATGTCTGCAAGCACTGCGACGCCATTTTGTGGAAAGAAGAAAAGAACACATACAACTGTTGCAACGGGGGCAGATCTGCCTTGCCGCGTCTTCGACCAATTTCCTCCGACCTCATGTCCACATTCAGCTCGCCCAGGTTCCGTGCAGGACAAAGAAGATATAACGGTTTGTTTGCGTTTACTGGACTGGGTGCAGGAGGTATCGAAAAACGGACATGGACTGGGCCCCCCGCCCCTTCGATGCTGACGTTGCACGGCAGAGCGTACCATAGAATATTTGACCTGCAGCAACAATACACTGACATGAACGTTTCCAACAGCTCCCGTTTTTACATCTATGACTCGGACTTTAACTCTCAAGCAGCTTCGTTGAAACTCGACACTCAAATCGCACATACACTGAGAACTCACGTCAACACCAACATTCCCTGGGCACAGCAGTACCGTTCGGCTGTGGGTTTAATCAACCAACCTTCCGCTGACGATGACAACACACCGTTCATAGAATTCGCACAAGTAAGTCGGGCCAACGATGGGCCTAACGTTGGCGACGCCGTATCAGCCCCCGAAATCGCGGCTTTACTTTACACCTCGAACGCTCAAAATCCCGGGCCCAGAACAGTGGTCACCTACCCCAGAAATAGTCCAGACGACAAACCAAGGTTCCTCCCGCTCTGGAGTCCAACATACGAGACTCTTCAGTTCCCGATGCTAATGCTGCACGGGGAAGCGGGATGGAGCAAGGGACACCCTCACGAGGACCCCCCATATAAATCTAAGACTATGAATAGAGACAATACATCACACGTAACATTTCCCTTTTACTGCCGCCAACGTCTACTGTGTGAACCAGTTTTCAAGCGAAACAGCCGCATCACCCAAGAATGGGCTTGCGACTCCTTGAGTCGAATGGAAGAGGAGAGACTGACCTTTGTTGAGCACGGCCCTTTACAACGACGACTCGCAACGGACCGTTCCATTAGACAGACCTCTTCGGGCACGCCACCCGGGAAGCTCCTGCCAGAAAGTCACCCAGGCTCAATGGCCAAAAGAAAATCCGACACCGAGGATGCATTAGCCATTGTAAACAGAAAGGGAAAACCTCACATCTTCGTAACCGTCACCTTCAACGCTGACTGGAAAGAGGTCAAGGACAACCTTTTGAACGGCCAGACCGCGTACGACCGCCCGGACCTTTGTTGTCGTGTTTTTAAGATTAAATTGAACGCGATAATGAAAGAAATCAAGAGTGGAAGAGTTTTCGGAGAGTATGACAGTCATCTAAGTGTAATCGAGTTTCAGAAGAGGGGCTTCCCTCACGCACACATCATCTTCACCTTCAAAAATGATGGTCCGGATAAGCTCAACCAAATCGACGAGTGGGTTTGGGCCCGACTTCCATCTGCAGACCTTGCTGGTGGAAAACTCCGGGAAAAGGTTTTGAAATACATGATCCACAAGCCTTGCGGGAAGCACAATGTTAACGCGCCCTGTATGGAGCTCAACCGCGAAACCAACACAAAGCGATGCGGAAAATACTATCCTCAACCGTTTAGGAGTACGGCCACGATTAACGACCGCACCGGACGTGCAGAATACAAACGGACAGACAATGGCGACAATCCCACCATTAGAGTACGCGTAGACGGGAAATGGCAAGACGTTCGAATCGGTAATGAGTGGGTTGTCCCGTACAACCCGTACTTGCTGTTGATGTTTGACTGTCATATCTGTGTCGACGTCGTCACCGCCACTTCGTGCGTTAAGTATCTCTTCAAGTACGTGCACAAAGGGGCCGACTACGCTAAAGCAAGGATTCAAGGTATCACAAGCGAGATAGAACAATATCGAAAAACAAGATACATATCTGCCGCCGAGGCCATATGGAGATTACTCGGATATCAGATGGTTAGCAGATTTCCGGCCGTGACAAAGATCCACGCACACCTCGAGGGTGAACAGTACGTCACTTACCCCGATGATGCCACGCCTGAAATGCGTCTGGAAATTGCCGATAACTCTCCGTCTTCCCTCATGACTTATTTCCAACGCCCAACTGACGCATTGTTCGACCAACTCACCCTATTAGACTACTACGAACAGTTCACCATCACAAAACCGAAGAAAGACTTGCCAAAACCGACTTCCGCACCACCAGGGAAGTTCTTAGACTCTTATGGCAACATCATATCATCCAGATCACAAAATAATCAACATGTGTGTCGCATCGTCTTCCAAAGCCCCGCCATCGGAGACTTATTTTATCTCCGCCTTTTATTGCACACCATTCCTGGAAGGTGTTTCGATGATCTCCTACTAGTGCCTCAACCTGACTCTACGTCCTTCAAACACGCAACTTTCCATGATGCCGCCCGAGCTCGGGGGTTGGTTACTGGTGACGAAGAGTACACCATTTCCATGGAGGAAGCAGCCTCTTTCCAAGTCGGACACAGCCTTCGCGCACTTTTCGTTACCCTGATTTTAGATGGTGCTTCAGCCCCAAAATTGTGGGATGAGTTCAAAATAAATTTGATAGAAGACTTCGCCCATTTCATGACACAAGACGAAGCAGTCCAGCAGGCCCTTAACGAGATCGATTTAAAGCTTCAATTGCACGGTAAAAACAACGAGCAGGTTAATCTTCCAGCTGCTGTGCACTCAAGAACGGAGTATGAAAGAATGAAAAACGCTTTTAACTTGGACGACTGCAAGACATACGCTGCGACTCACGAGCGCAATCTCACCGTTGAACAACGTCACGTATACGACACGGTTATCCGTTCGGTTAACAGCGAGCAAGGACAACCTTATATGATCGATGCGCCGGCAGGCACAGGGAAAACATACACAGAGAAATGCCTTGCTGCAAAGCTTAGAGGTGACGGGAAGATTGTCTTGATTGTTGCGTCGACAGGAATCGCTGCTCTGCAGCTACCCGGTGGGTGGACGGCTCACTCCATGTTCAAGCTTCCCATGGACGAAAAGATGTCCCCTTCGTGTGTGTGTAACATCAGCGCCCAAACCCAACGAGCAGAGTTAATTCGTAAGAGCGACCTCATTATCTGGGATGAGCTTCCCATGACTCACCGGTTCTGTGTTGAGGCTCTCGACCGAACACTAAAGGACCTCATGCGTAACTCTTTGCTCTTCGGTGGCAAGACCATCTTATTTTCCGGTGATTGGAGACAGACTGGACCCATTGTCAAATTTGGGTCTCCTACTGACACCGTTGATGCAGCAGTTATTTCGAGCCATCTATGGAGTAGTATCTTCCGCCTCAGGCTCACCAAATCTCAACGTGATAGAAGCGATCCTGCCTACGCTTCATTTGTGCGAAATGTGGGAGAGGACACTGTGCCTCCAGAAACCATGCCCGACGGCAGCAAGCTCATCCCTTTGAACAACAGCTCCACAGATTCGCCAGACCAATTCCAGCTGCAATACACGACCGACTTTAACGATTTAGTCCGCTTCGTGTACCCTGACATGTCCCAAGACGCTACAGCGTGGAGCGACCGAGCTATATTAGCCACAACCAACAACGCCATTGATCGTTCCAACGAACTCATTTCTGACGACCGACCGGGAAGATCTGTGTCCTTCTTCAGCTCTGACTCACTCATCAAAGACGAAAATTCGGGCTCGACCGCTTTCGCCGCCCCTGAACATCTCAATCAACTAAACGTGACCGGTGTGCCTCCCCATGAGCTCAAACTGAAATCCAACGGCCTGGCCATGATTGTAAGGAATCTAAACTTTTCCGAAGGGTTGGTAAACGGCCAAAAGTGCATTTTGAAATCGCTTTCCCCCAACAGCCGTGTAATTCATGCTGAACTTCTCACAGACGAACTACCTCATCCTGTCGTGCTAATCCCAAGGATAAGTTTCTCTGCCCAAGTTGGAAGGAATGGCATTAACTTCATGCGCGTGCAGTTTCCTCTACGTACTGCTTATGCCATGACCATAAACAAGAGTCAGGGCCAAACTCTTACCAGGATAGGGTTGGATCTTCGTTCGTCTCCCTTTGCACATGGCCAACTGTACGTTGCTCTCACCCGTGCTCAAAAACGATCAACTGTAATGCTGCTTTTGCCACACACACAGGTTGTCGATGGAACTCCTTACACTGAAAATATTGTCTACAAGCCATTCACAGACGCCGCAACTGGCGAGACGCACAGTGGCTCTTCCGCGACTCTCCCCTCCCTGCCTTATCTTCCTCCTACTCCTCCCCCGCCGCCTCCCCCTCCTCCTCATTGGCTCATTCAGCCGGAGTTGGGGGATGGCAACTGCGGCTTTAGGACCATTGCCCGCCGGGTGTTCGGTGACCCTGACCTACACCACCAAGTTCGAACTCAAATTGTGCAATACATTTCCAACAACAAACATAATCCGGACCTGCACATTTACGATGGTGTTGGGACTGAACTTCTACACAGATTAGGCTATCCGCCTTCTGCCTATCATTCTTACGAAGAGTACGTCGCAATAATGTCCATGCCTCGCACGTACATGGGTCAACCCGAGATTACTGCTGCAAACGCTCTCTATGACATCTCCATTCAGGTTCATTTCGATCAATCCTCTGTACCGCTTCCTCAAAACACCCTACCGAACCAGCTCCATGTCCGGTTGAATCCCGTCAGTCTTCACTATGACACCATCTTACTTTCGCAACCTCCCCCCTTACCTCCGTAATTGCCAGCGTCCTTCATTCTACTGCGCAGGTCAACCCACCTTCATGCCTGGCGTTACCCTGCGACTCATCCCTGCACCTCCGGGAACATTGGCTTCTTCGTGCCAACAACACGCACTTCTCGTGCCTGTTGCCGGACTACTCGCTGTATCGTGTGCATTGTCTACAGTAGAATTACCATCGTTTGCGTTGGGAACACTCTGCTGTGGCAGCAAATGTCTGGGTTGTGGGGAGCCCTTCGTTCATTTTGCGGAACGGGCTTTTTCGCTTCTTTCGAGGGGCTGCGAGTGATGGTTTGGGCATCGCCGCGCCCCTTGCCGCTTGGGCCTTCCGCATAGTCGCGTCTACAGTAGAATTATCGTCATTTGCGTTGGGAATTTCAACGACTTTTGCCGTTTTACGAATTGCCTTTCGTCTACCTCTGCCACTCTGCTGTATTGCAAATAGCTGGGTTGTGGGAAGTCGTTCGTTCATTTTGCGGCACGGTCTTTTTCGCGTCTTTCGAGGGGCTGCGGGTTTCACACATGTGTATTCGAGCTTCCACGTCGTCGCGCAATCTTCGATCGATTATCTCGCTTTTTTTCGGTTTGTTTTTATACGTTTTCTTCCAAAAAAAAGAAAAAACGGAGTTGCGCGCTTTTTTCCTGTTTGTTTTTACCCCACGTGGGTTTTCACGGTGTCTTTATACTTTCCACTTCGTGTGTCTCTCGGGTTTGTGCTTCAAGTTTCTGTCACATACTGAATGCAACACACAATAAATGTTTCTGCCGCCTGCATTTCATCACATTGCGCAAGGCTCTCCATCCACATTTTCAGCCTGCATACGGCTTCGTCTGCTCTGCGAGTTCTATCGCTCGCCAGATCCTAAACCCTACGCCATATTCACCCATCCCTCTTACTCTCTTCCAACCCCACTTGGTATCAACACATCCCCTTCTAAACACGCATTTTTCGGCGTGCGGCCTACCCAAGGGGGCCTCTTTTTCATATCAAGAAAAGCGCGTAGGGGGGGCATGGCCCCCCGGAGCGCTTGTAGACTAGAATATTTCTGAACCCCCTGTTCCCTTTTTTTCTTGTTCGGTGTTGTCCAACTGCTAGCGAAACAGCAGGACACAAGTCAGTTCTCGTCACCTAGCGCACCAATCGTCATGGCAGCACTTCTAGCGTGTGCTCCATTGCGATATCTCGGGCCGTGACAGTTGTTTTAGGCATGGATGCTGTGTGTGGGGAAGACCTTCGTGGCGGCGTTGGAATCCAAATCGTTTTTTGGCCCGTGGAATCGGGCCGCATCGCAAGGCGAAAACGCCAAACCGGATTTCACACCGCCACGATGCTCTCGCCACATACCGCACCCATGCCCAACACAACTATCTTGCCCAGAGACACCACAATAGATCACACGCTCGAAGTGTTGCGATGGCGATCGGCGTCCTAGGTGTTGAGAACCAATGTGGTGCTGTGCTCACATTGCTGGCAGTTGATGAACGCGGCGGTAAAAAAAAATCATGCACGACAGCACAACGCATACCCAGATCACACCGCAGATAATCCAGCGGCATCGAGCCTCGATAGTTTCGCCCGCTGTGCGTGTTTGTCGCCTGTTATGCGCACGCTGTTTGCTGTGCGTGTGTTGTCTGCTGCGTGGTGTCGCTCGCAGTGCGTGTTTTCTCCGCTGCAATCCGCTGTGTCCCCCGAAAAAAAAAAAAGTGCGTCTGCTGACCCCTGGAGTCTACAAGCGAGTAGGAGGTCTAAACTGTAAAACCTAGATAAAGCCCGTGGACACGCAAGTTTTTTTGGGTGTCAGCGGGCCCTTGCAACTCGGTGGACCGGCACTCCAGATTAGAAATCTCGCTTCGCTTGAATAAATTAGCAATAAAGCAGAAAGAAATACAGAGCAGCTACCTTCCAATTTGAAAGGTGTAGACTAATATGTACAGGTAACGGAGTACTGCTGTACTACAATACTTGCATATAGTCTATATCATGTGCACACTTTGCTCTTCGAGTCGCACGCCTAACCCCCAGCGCCGCGCGCATCTCGCAGGACAAAATAGAGAGTAACGAGGTGTTGACAGCCTCCGATGGTTTACGTACCGTTAGCCTACTGCTGCTGTTGCTGTTGCGGTGCCTCTGGCTTGGGTCCGTTGCGTGCACAGTATGCATGCGTGGGAGCGACAAATAAATGCGTGGCCGGCGACTGACACGCAACGTAAAAAGTGCTAGACTCCATAGTCTATAAACTATTTAGATATATATTGCACATTCACTCCTTGTGCACCCATATCCCATCATATCTAGACTATATGCATATAGTCTAGATATGTATGTGGTACCTCACCGACTGACTGCTGCTTTTATGTGGTGTCTGTCTGTCTGTGTGCATAGACTGTTGTTGTGTAATTCGTGAGTATTCGCATGTGAATTGTCGTATACCACAATTTTATGGTCATTCGGACACGTAGTCTGTTTGCAATTGATAGTGTCACATAGTTGCAGGTCGTCGTCGAACTGCGAGGAAAAATCTAGCAAACGCGCACTCTGAAGCGTTTTTTGCAATGCGTGTGTGTATCTTTCTGAACGAACGTAAGTAAAAGTATTTTCGAAGCATCTCAGGAAAATCGTGCGTCGAGACTACCAGTAGTCGGACACGGTTTGACCTTTGAATACGATTGCAGCAACTAGTCTGCGTAGCAGTAGAAAAGTATCCATCTCTCCTTGGCATGTATTCTCTTGTTCTAGGAATATTCCGGAAGCATGCTAGGTCAAGGTTGACCGGGACATCTATGTAGAACGTGTGTAGCTTCTGGAAGCCTTCTGGAAACTTCTGGTTCCTCCTGTAGCCTCTGGAAGTCTTTCTGGAAACTTCTTGTTCCTTCTGTAAGCTTCTGAAAGCGTTCTAGATCTAGGTTGCAGTTGATACTCTTCTAGAACGTAGGAGGGCTTCCAGAAATCATTCTGGAAGCATTCTGGATCTTTCGTGTGATTGGCTTATTTGTCCGGTATTCGAGAAGAGTGGTGCAGCCCTAAGCTCGCACACTCCTCTCACTCCTCTTCTTCAGTACCATCAACATCTGACTCAGGAGTCAGCAACTAATAAAAGCATCTTCATGTTTCCATTCCAAGTCTCTCGCGGTTGGAGACGCACAGAGTGTGAACCTCTGAGGTAGGCTACACAGCCTCCTGGCATCTGCAGCATCGTACTGCTGCTAGTGCACAGCGAAATATCGCTGACAGGTTATGAGCCTCGGCTAACGCACACACTACGAGCTGCGAACATCACGGGAAGATCAAGGCAACCTCTTCTCGGGGCATCAACCTTCATCCGTGGACAACGAGAGAACCTGGTTTCGGAGATTTCTGGAGATTGCGACGCCGTCATCGGTCAACGGCAACACAAGCAGACGCGCAAACTTGGTCATCTACACCAAGGTGCTGAGGGTTCACGTCGTATACACACGTTACCACCCCTGTGGCAGTAGCGGGTATCTCTGTGGTGAACTAGCAGCAAGGGTCACGTGCGCGGGAGTCTCGAGCGGCATACGCATCGGGTGTACAAGGAACTACACTGTATCATCAGTGGAGGCGATCAACAACCGGAGTCCTCTATATCAGTAGCAGGAGCGGGATCGGAAACAAGAAAACCACAACCGGAGTCCTCTATATCAGTAGCAGGAACGGGGTGGGGAAGACTCGGGTACAGGCAGTTGTACCACGAGCAAACTTACTCCTACAGCAGGAAGTACTTTTATCAAGACGAAGAAAATAAAACTGGAACGAGCAATGGATACTGCAACGAGCAACACAGGAGGAGGAAGCGCGTTCGCCAGCGATAGTTCTACGAACCTGGCAACCGTGATCAAAGGCCTCAAGAAATTCGACGGAAAGGACCCAGCTGAGTTCAAGACATGGATGAAGAAATTCTGCGTGGTGTTAGGTGTGACCAGGAAGGACATCCTGCCACTGCTGAAGAAACAAAGGAAGCCAGATCCCGCAGACACAGCGGCCTTCGACTCCTACACAAGGGCAAACGAAGATCTCTACGCCATTCTTTTCCTCCTAGTGGAACTTCCAGCCGCCTTGTCGATACAGAAGCACGAAGACGACACTGGCATCAGCGGCGACGGACAAGCTGCCTTCGAGGAGCTCTGCAACAACTATGACAGGGTAACGGACGAGGTCATCAGGGCCAAGATGGAGGAGCTGGAGAACAACCCCATGAACCCTGGTGAAAATCCCGACGACTACTTCAACCAGAAGCACCTACTTCGCACCCAGCTGGATAAGATGGGAGAACCCATCTCCGACCGCCGCTTCAAGGACATCTGCGTACAGGGCTTCTCCGACGAATACAAGGACGTCAAACTGATGGTGTTCAGAGACCCAACCTTCAACGTCCTGGACATGCAATCCACCATGCGCAACATCTTCTTGGACGAACAATCGCGCAAGGGATGGAAGGGACGCATAGCTGGTCGAGGATTTGCCATGGCAACGACCGCGTCTGACATCATCTGCCACAGCTGCTACGAGCCGGGGCACATCAGGAGGAACTGCCCCAAGATCAAGAACAGGGCGAAGAAGAAAACGAAGCCCGCCGGAGCTACCAAGTGGTGCTCCAAGCACAACACCACGTCTCACTCGGACGAGGAATGCTACCAGCAAGGAGGAAAGCGCCCGGAAGACACCAAGGACTCAAGTAAAGCATTCACCGCGTGCTCCAACTGCACTCACTGCTCGTCGGCGTCCAACAAGCACGACTCAAACAATGAAGTGGCAGTTGTCGACTTCACCCGGGACGAGGACGCCTTTGACAGCGGCTTCATGTTCGGCACGTGTTCCCGCATCTCAGGACGCAACTTCGCCGCGAGCTCCACCGGGGTAGGCCTGCTGGTAGACACGGGAGCATCGGAGACCATGTTTGACAATCGCCTCATCCCCGACGGAAACCTCCACGATTACACCCAGCGAAACTCTCCAAAGATCGTGGACGTGGCCGGAGAAAGACAACTCAAAGGCACGGCCACGGGCATCCTACACTGCACCGTCAAGGACAATCGAGGACAGCAATTGCGCGTGCGGATTCAGGGACTCATCGTTCCGGGACTTGGTCGCAACATTTTTTCGCCCACCTCCCTCCTGAAAAAGGGATTGCGCTGCGTCGTCGAAGAGAGCACTCCGCACCTCACTATCCAAGGCAAGGTGATTCCACTCACACAAGATCCGCGAGACCAAGGCATGTGCACCCTCGACATCACGTTCGAGCAGAACGTCCAGCCATCTGGCACGAAATCCCTCGTGCCCCACCAGAAGCAGTCACAGACCCACACGGCGAACGCCGTCTGCTTTACGCTAGTGAGCGCGGACACCTGGCACAGGAGGCTTGGACATCTCAATGCTCGGAGCCTGGACATCCTTCGGAAGGACACGGGTACCGGGGTGGACTATCGCGACAGTCTCTCCCCTTGCGGGGTCTGCCAGATAGCGAAACACAAGCAGTCCCCCCACCCGAAGCAATCGACTCGCGAACTATCACGGCCTGGACAGCTTGTGGTCATCGACAACATGGGGCCTGTTAATCCACCTGCGAAATATAAAGGAGGCTCCTTCCCGTACGCGTGCAAGATCACCGACGACTACACGAAGATGAAAGAAGTTTACCTGCTTCGCAAGAAATCTGACACGACCGAGGCGGTGCACACGTACAACATGTGCGTCGCAGCGGCAGGAGGCTACCGGATCGAGACCATCCGCTGCGACAAGGGAGGCGAGAACACCGGATCCGAATTTCGGGACTACTGCAAGAATTCAGCTATCAAGCTCGAATACGCCGCCACCAACACCCCTCAACAAATTGGTGTATCGGAACGGGACGGACAAACCCTGGCCGGAGTCACCCGGTGTCTTCTGAAGGATGGAGATTTTCCGCCGTCCATGTGGGGGGAGTTAATGCTGACTGCAGCATACCTGTTGAACAGGTCCCCACACTCAGCACTGGGAGGAGCTACGCCATACTCGAAGTTGCACAATAAGTCACCTGATCTCTCGGGACTTCGGGTCATTGGAGCGCGCGCCTTCGTACACCACGAGAGATACCGAAAGAAGCTGGACGACAGAGCTTTCGAAGGCAAGCTATGTGGTTTCGGCCTCGACAGCCAGACCTACCGGGTATTGAATCCATCCAACGGGGCCGTGGTCGAGAGCCGGAATGTGACTTTCATCGAATCTCCACCCCGCTCAGTGCCCTTCCAGTATTCCACTGAAGCAAACGGGTACGAGAGCGACGTGCTGAGCTTCACCTCCCTGCTGGACAGCCCCCACTCGACGAGCGACCTGGACTTCACGGCGCAGAACGAACTCCTTCGGCAGGGAGTCCGGAAGATGCAGCAAGACAATCTCGCTCAGGAGGAGCTTCGCCTAGAACTGGACGGGCACGAGGACGAACATGGAAACGGGCAAGATCTCGGCGACGGGGACGCTCCATCACCACATCTCCCATCGACGCCAGCTGGGCCGTCATCCGAGACCCACGCATCTAGCCCAAGTCTATCATCGTCGAACCCGCCTGAACCGGACACTTTTGCATCAACTGGATGCCCCGACATGCGGCGCCTGCAAGTCACCAGACCCAGCACGCGCGGGCAGCCCACCATCGACGATCATATTGACGTCAACGTGGTTCCTG